ATCTTCTAAGACTTTGAATAGCTCAGCTGGAATACCATCACCTCCACTAGCTTTGTTGTTAGTAATGCTTTCTAAGGCCCATTTAACTTCACCTTCCAGGATGTCTGGCTCGAAGTCAGTGATTATACCGTCGTGGTTGTCAAGGACATCGAGGTCTTTCTTGTATAGTTCTTCTGTGTATTCTTGCCATCTTTTCCTAATCTCTTCTGCTTCTGTTAGGTCCCTACCGTTTTTGTCCTTTATCATGGCCAGCTTTGTATGGAACGCTGTAGGAGGGCAGTGCTGACTGTGTGGCAAACCCGCACGAGGGCACTGGTCTTCTGGCTGTTCTCCTGGAAAAATTGGGAACCTAGCTAATTGCACAAGGCAGATGGAATGTAGGAGTAATGTTTGTTCGCTTTTGTGAGGCAGGCCCAAAATTGTTAACGTTGTTCCTGCATGGAGGACACATCTGCTGATGTGCTGAATTCATCATGTGAAGCTACCTTGGCAAAAAGGATTTCACATTAAAACAATAAAAAAGGGATGACATGCAGTTCCCTCTAAAATGAGTTAGTGTGAGCTAGCTCACAGCTTTTTAGCCTCTGGCTCGCACATTTTTGTCTTAGCCCAGGAAGGAGGGCTCCAGAGCAAACTAATTTATGTAGCAGCCAAATCTCCTGCTCACTACTTTAATGCCAATAGCTCACAAAGTAGAATTTTTGCTCACAGGGCTCCATAGCTTAGAGGGAACATTGATGACATGTAGGAGAGCAGTGCGGAATAAATCACTGTTCTCCTGGCTGGAAATTGGGAACTGGAATCCTTATACGTCATGAGAGGCAGAGATGGAATCTGTTTACTGTTCACTAAGCAGTCAGTGTAACCTTGAGAGAGGGGGAGTGGCTGAGATAAGAGAACTTGCCTACATTCCTTAGTTCATGTCTCATGCCTAGGATGATGTAATGTATGAAAGGGTGGGGGAAAGGAGGAGATGGATTTTTCAATAAATACAGCTGGTGAGTAAGAGGAGATTCATTCATGGGTTCCTTCCTTCATTCATTCAGTCAGCTTTCTGCAGAAGCTGTTTGTCTCGTGTCGTCTTTGCATCGCCTGCACCCCCACACCCCAAGGAGCAGCACCAGAACGCTCCCTTGATTTCTCCAATTTTCTTGAAGAGATCTCTAGTCCTTCCCATTCTATTGTTTTCTTCTATTACTTTGCACTGTTCATTCAGGAAGGCCTCCTTATCTCTCCTTGCTGTTCTCTGGAAATCTGCGTTCAGTTGGGTAAATCTTTCCTTTTCGCCTTTCACTTTCCTTCTTTCCTCTGCTATTTGTAAAGCCTCATCAGAAAGCCACTTTGCTTTCTTGCATTTCTTTTTCTTTGGGATGGTGGTGATTGCTGTCTCCTGTACAATGTCACGAACCTCCGTCCATAGTTCTTCAGGCACTCTATCAAATCCAGACCCTTGAATCTTTGGATACTGTCATATGAAATACAGGATGTCTGCAATGGGGTGAGAATTTTTTCTGTACCCAGAACCTAATGGCCCATTACTGTGTTCTCCAGTCTGAGGTCTCTGTTCTGTACTCTGCAAGCAGGATCAGTCAGGTCTTGGAAGGTGGTGCCAGACTATGAGCACTAGGACTGGTCAGGCTTGGGAAACTAGAGACACTAAGCTTATACCTGGTGGACCATTTGATCCAGAAAGCTCCCTTCCCAAGCCCAAACCTTAAATAGGCTGAGAGGTAAACAGTTCTACCTGCTCTAGAAGCAGCAGCTGGGACTCATCTCCTCCAGGCTTAATTGAGGTCAGAATCCTGCAAAGGGTTACATCTGCTAGGACCATCTGACCCAGGAGGTACAGCATGGGCTGGAAGCCTAGCACGGTGCCTTCAGCATAAAGCCCAGCACCTCCACTGCTCCTGCTGGGTAGAAGTGGATTCTGCTGGGCTTGTGGACCAGGTTCTGTGCTGGCTCTTAATTGCCCCAGGATGGGGGGGGGGATAAAGGTAGGTTCTGGTGGAGGAAGCCCAATTTCAGGCTCTTCAGGGGCAAGTTCTGGAGGAGCTCTAACTGCAGGACCCTCAGAGGCAAATCCTGGAGCTGATGGGCCAGGTGTATTTACCTTGCAGGAGTCTCCTGGAGTTTCCCGCTCCCCCCCCCCCCCCGAGGCTTC